AGGAGTTTATATTATTTATTGATGGTGTTTTTGATCGGCAAGCCATATCATCGTTAATTCTTCATCAAATCTCAAGATTGAGCCACCAATTTCGAAGGCTTCCTTCTCCTTCAGGCGGAAAAATTCAGGCAAACAAGTTATGAAAGAAATGAAACTTTATTTCCTAATAACTAAAAAATTACGCACTTTTCTCTTATGGTTATTCCCATGATTATATAAAACATTACTAAATTGTCTACAAAAGGAAAAAAAATCATTGAAATCGGACAATTTTTCGCAGACACAGCTTATTGAAATTTGTAAATATGTTGGTTCCAAAAAAAAAAAAAATGAAGATTTAAATTAATTTTGTTTCCTTTGTCGATTATATTTTTCGATAAAGTAATAATTTACTCCTTTATCTTTTGATACGTTGCATTATTCTTCTTATTGATTTGTCATTTGATAACAATATTCTGTGTGAATTTTTCGCACGGGGCTACTAGTTTTACAAAATGCTCAAGAGACAGAACATAAATGTTAGGTTATTATTAGATAATATTCAACTAACATTAAAATAACTAAGATAATATTAAAAGTAAATCTATACAAAGAAAAATAAACTAAACTAATCAAAATAACAACTTAAATACACAGATGCTTTTATGCAATATTTACAAAATTCATTCACTCAGGGAAACTCTAATATAAGGGAGGCAAGCTAATATTTAATGATGGATAAATATACATATATATAAATATACATTACTTATATATATATAATATATATATATATATATAAGTAAAGAATTTTTTGATTTGCTAAAGAAGTCATATTTTCTCAGAACGAAAAGAAATATTCGGAAACAAAGGAAAGGTTATTAGATGAATTTATTTAAAATACACAGTCATGAAATGTAAAGCATAATAATTAACAGCTTAGACTTGTGGGAAAACCATGTGATAATTGAGTTAAATACTCGTACCTTGTAACATTTATAATTTTCACTTCCATTTACCTACAAATGCAAATATCTTACAAATTTTCCGTTTTACACGTCTTTAGCTACTGATGTCATTAATCTAAAAACTAAATACAAAAAATAACAGTTAGTATAATTTGTTTATAACATTTTAAAATCATCTTATAACCACAGAATATGCCATATAATAAGCAATATAATATACAGTAACTGGTCTCTAAATATACTAAACTTACTAATTACTTAATTACTAATAATGCAATAACGTATTTAAATATAATGACGTGCCTACAAAAAGTTTTGAAACGAAAAGAAATTAAGGAGGAGTTGAAAATTACAATAGCTTCAGGTTTATTTTAATTTTTAATTTTTTAATATCTCATTAAAAGAAAGAAAATAAGAAAACATATACGGCTAATATGATTATAATATAAATATATACATTGTAATGGTAAAGAAAGTGGAAAATGAATCACTCTTAAAAAAATTAAATATCAAAGTGTATACAAACGAAAAACATCTGGTGTATCCACTCACACGACTTTCTTACCTATTTCAGAAAAGTTGTTATATCTTTACATATGTTCATGAAGAAACAGAAAAAGAATTGAACTAGATTTATTTTCCTGAAAATTGATCAAAGAAAAGATTTGAGTACGATGTATTTGATAAATTAAAGCGATGTAAACCGGCTTGAGGTAGATCAGTGTAACAATTTTAATACTCTCTAATATTGCTGATAAAAACTTTTTGCCATAGCTTAGTATTGTCAACAATAATTTCTGTTAAAAGTAGAGGAAATAGTGAAGATTGTGAAGTTGTGAAGATTTTCTTACTTCTACTTACTCATCTTTTCTTTTTTCTCTCATTCACCCCTTTCTGACACCAGGATATGAACCCGTAATCTTACATTGGAAATTGAATAGCTGTAACTTCGTTATTAGTTGACCAAAATGAACGATTTTTACATAGTTTTGAAGGGAATTTCATTACCTTTCAAAAGTTGTATTATGAATTTTGCCGTATAATGTATACTTAGGGAGTTAGGCCCCATAACATTTTTCTTTTTTTTATAACTTTTTTTCTGTATTTTCTTGAGAATTTAGTCCATATACGAAAATTGAAAGGATTAAAACATTATAGGAAAGTTTCATCAAAATCGTTAGAAATATTTTTGCGCTACAGTCTATAGAAAAATGTGTTTTTCATTTATTGCGCGTATGCTATTGCGTATCGAGCACCAAATTTCTGTCACAGGCATCGGTAGTCAAAACTCTAAAAAGTAAAAAAAAGAAGTAACAAAATCGGTTTAGTAGTTCCCGAGAAAACAGACAGACAACTTGGCACCGACAGACAGACAGACAGATCAATGGCTAAAAATATGTTTTTCGGACTCAGGAGGCTGTGAAACGTATAGATCCGTCGAAAACCGCATATCGGAAATTTGACACGATTGCAATGCTTTCCTTACCTAGTATAGGTAGGAAAGTTAAAAGATTAATTGTCCTAACATAATTAAATAAGCATAGTAAAAAAAAAGATTGGCCTTAAATGAATGATTGGCGAATTAATGGAAACTAGTAAAAAATATAGTCTGAAAATGAAAATGAGAAAAACTAAAATAATGACAAACTCCGCTGAAATTCCAATCTATATAGACAGTAAACAGGTAGAATATGTCCAAGAATACATTTATTTGGGTCAAACAATATCTTTCAATGAAAAAATGAGGAAAGAGTTCGACAGAAGGATAAAGCTTGAGAATATTGGTCTCTCAAAAAGATTTTTAAAAGCAATATAGCGATAAATCTTAAAGCCAAAGTTTTGACTACTTGTGTTTATCCTACGATTCTCTACTGGGCGCAGACTTGGACATTGACTAGGAAACTTGAACTCAGGTTGAACTTTATGCAGATGAAGCTTTTAAGGAGTTTATTGTCATTCAAGAACAGAAAAAACCAATCAAATAATAAAGACATTCTTCGAAAAGTGGATATTAAAAGTTTAAGGGCTGAAGCTCATCGGTTAAAATGGAACTGGGCAGGACACATGGCGAGGTTGAAGGATGAAAGATGGTCCAAAGCAAGTAGCCAGTGGATCCCAAGAGAGAGCAAGAGGAAAAGAAGCTGGCCGCATCTGAGGTGGCGGGATGAAATGATACAACATGTAAGCGATAACTGGTGGCTTATGGCTAGGGATACAGATGGAAACAAGTTATAAACAATATTTAGTTGTTGTGTTTTGTTTTTTATGAATTTTTTATGTATTAGGTTAGAAAGAGAGAGGAGAGAATGTGAGTGGGAACATGTATAGGGGGAGAGAAGGAAGAGAAAGGGTACAGAATGATAATAAATGAATGAAAGAAATAGTAAAAATTATAAAAAAAAAAGGAAAAAAAAAATAATATATATATATATATATACGTATAAAATATTGTATACTATGCTCATACATATTGTTAATCCTATAATTGTATAATAATTTTAAATAATGTCTGTAGTGATTAATAAGTATGCTGTGTTGTTAGCAACCCAATGTAATTGGGCAGCACCATTTTATTTTATTTTATGATAATAAAGTGATTCTCTCTGTTTTGTTTGTCTTTTTATTAACCGCTTGCTTCCAAGACTGTTCTGTTTACTGTATGGCTTGGTTTTGTTTTGTTATTCTTAGGCCTTACATAGCTATTTTACAAAAAAAAAAAAAAAAAATATATCTGTTTTGTTTTATTTTAAACATTTAAAAAAAATAATGATTGTAATAATTTAAATATATTTTTCTAGGCTGTAACCAACTCCGTTAAAATCCTCCTTAGGGAGAGGCTTTTGTCGATAATTGATGTGAATAAAGCTTCTTATTATTATTATTATTAGTTAGTTTTCAATTGAGAGATGGGATTTTCTATTGAGTAGTCTGTATAACTGACCAAATTAAATCGGTTAAGTTCTTGTCTTTTAAATCTGGTATATAACATACTAGTAGGCCCGTGCGAAAAATTCGCACAGCATATTGTTTTCAAATGCCTAATTATTATGAAAAAAAAATAATGCAACGTATCAAAAGATAAAAAAATCAATTATTACTTTATCGATAAATATAAACGATAAAGGAAACAAAAATTATTTTAAATCTGCATTAATGTTTGGAACCAACATGTTTACAAATTTCAATAAGCTGTATCTTTGCTAAAAATTGTCCGATTTCGATGATTTTTTTTCCTTTTTTAGGGAATTTAGTATTATTTTATATAATCATGGGCATAACCAAGGTGTGTAATTTTTTAGTTATTCGCAAATAAAGTTTGTTTTCTTTCATAACTTGTTTGCAGTAATTTTCGGGTTGATTGGACTATTTTGCCCGCCTGAAGGAGAAGGAAGCCTTTGAAATTGGTGGCTCAATCTTGAGATTTGATGAAGAATTAACAATGATATGGCTTGCCGATCAAAAACACCATCGATAAATAATATAAACTTTTTTGGGCTTAAAAACACAGGATCCGATAGTTATAGTCCAATAGAAGGAACTATCCGGGTCTTACTGTATGCATCAAAATTTTTAAGATCCAATTTATCGATCTACAGACCTACCACCGTTCCAGTATTGAAGCCTAGCAAAATGTTTGCATCGACTTTATTTATTTTAGAAAGAAAAACAAAAGTGGGGAATCCGGGTCGCTAACCCCACGTGAAATTCTGAATCCATCGGTACCCTATTCATGGTATTTGAGCATGACAGAAGCTTATATTTGATACAAAACCGATTTCGAGCCTTACTGTAATAATATATGTGGGATGGGATGTGGGTTGCTTATATAACAACTAGAAAGATAAACGATGTAGTAGCAACTTTTTCAAAATCGGCTAACAGTAGTATCAGTAACAAAATCGGTCATTAGTAGTATTATATTTATTGACTACCATTATAATCATTAACAACTCATCATTTTCTGTACTCATGGTCCATTATTATTTTAACTGGTTAATTATTTATAATTCTCAATCGTAATAATTCAGGTTTTTGTTTAACTGAAAGGAAAAGGCATATGTTTTTTCACAGTGTCAGTTTATCCATTTATTGATAAATTTATAGTATCAGTTTTAAAAATTCACTTATTTCATTACATTAAACTCAATTATACTATGCACTATAATACATTCACTTATCTTTTAATTTCATTTTTTCTCCATACTATTGGTAGACACCTGTTCAATACCAAATGATCACTTAAAGATTAAGGAAGATTATTCACTGTTTAGTTCCATAGAGGCAGGCACTGCAGCTCTTCAGCCAGTAAGAACTTTTTAAAAAACGTTTATTATGATATTTACAACTGTATTAGTATGAATACATCAAGTAAATGTGTACAGAGGAATATAATCACATGAAACACGCTTGTTGAGAAACTACCCATTGGTAGCACTCTAATAATTTGTTTACATGAGGAGATCACGAGGCCATCTTCTTTTCAGACGCCTCGGAGGGTTATCAGGAATCGAAGAGGAAGCGAGGTTAGAAACAAGAGGGTTCGGATTGTTATGAAGTTTATTATGGAATTTATCTGGATTTGGCCAAATCGGAAACATGGAACATTGAGGTCTTTATGGATTATTTTATTTGTGACAAAGCAAGGAGCATGGAGGATTTTACGAAGGATTTTGGATTGTAAAGATTGGATACGAGAGGAATTCGATGGTTTAGTGGAACATCACAGCTCAACTCTGTAAGTCCAAATAGGTCTTATTATAGTCATGTATATGAGTCGTTTGTAATTAATTGGAAGTTTAGAGCGTTTGTCCAGTAAGTGTTGGAGTAAGCGGAAACGTCGAGCAAGTAAGAACTCAAATGAATAACTACAAAAAAGATATCAGTACTCATCGTACAGCACTGTGCATTCAATTCATTTTATTCGCATTACATCATTTATTAATTATGTATTCCAATAAATATGCAATTTTCTTAATATATTATATACTGCCACTTGTTTTTTATGTTAAATTTTTTTTTCTTCTTTCATTTATTTTACCTCATACAGGTTAAGGCCTCTTACTTCCCCATTTCTCTTCTTCTACTCGATTTTTTAACAGTACAATTGATATAATTAACATGCCTAATTCTATCGTCGACCATCAATCTCAAATCGCTACTCATGAGTGAAACCTTCGCTCTTTGAAACGCAATGGTCTTGGTACAACAGAAGCCGGTACCGCCGGTCTGCAATCTCTAATGCAGATGAAGCATTGTCTTTTTAGGAAAGTCTCGAAATCGCTTTCATTAAGGTAATTTGGGAACATCTGGAATCACTCCACCCACAAATTAATACAGAATTTCACCTTCAAGCCTGGCTTGAAGTCTGTGACACCCTAAGACATGAGAACTCACCTCCCTCAAATTCCATTTCCCTCATTTTCAAGCAATCTACTTGAGTTGAAACATTTTAAGAACACCTTCTTATCAATGGCCCACAATGAACCGACACTTACCAATGTTGAGAAATTCCACTACCTGCTTGGTGCAGTTCGAGTTGAAGCTGCCTCACTTATTTCACTATTCCCCCTCTAAGAAAGAATACATTCCCAAACTTGAAAAGGCTTCACGACAATTAAAACAATCCAAGAATCCCCGCATCTTTATTCATCCAAAAGATGCTTGAATGTGTTTGAAAAACATCAAAATCCGAGACAGAACGATAAAATAAATTTTTAACTGGGGTAGCAGACATCATTGAGGGTTTTAAGTCATTGTCTTTAGAAGATTCATTTTGGCCCTGGGCTCTCAAACTCGTGGAAATTTTTAACTTTCCCGTAGTTCAAATACATTGTTCACCAAAGCCAGCGATGTAATTGATTTTGTCCGCCAAAGGAAATACGCAATCACTATGTCGAGGGACTTTGACACAAATTTAAACTTCAATTCGGCTGAGAAAACACACTCGATTCCGTCAAAGCTTCTAAGCACCTTAAGGAGTTCTCAAAGGTACTACTCAAAGCAAAATCCAGTAGTACTGAGCAACACAGGTGATAAAAATAAAAAGTTTAGTCAACGCTCTTCACCATCTCATAGAACACCTACAATCACTTAATTATTACAGCAAAACCATCAACGAAAACGTTTCCCTTTCTGCCAACTAAATCACATCTGATCTCGTGCTTAAAATTCAGCAATTCACCGCTTCATGAAAGGTGAAGTTGGTGACCGAAGAAAAGGATTGTTGGAGATCTGGAGGCAGTTGTCTCAAGAACTAATTAGCATGGAAGAACGTCTTCATCGTAACTAAAATGACTGCAGAAGGAGAGGTAGAGTGGACGAAACTTGTCCTTAAGATATGGACGATGCGGTCGAGGAAGACGTGGTGGAGTTAGCTGACGACAACATCCATCTAGGAAAAGCTCCAGGACCAGAATTTATTCCTTTTATACCTGCTAAATCATGGCTCCTTAATTTATTAAATATATAGAGATAATGGAATGATTTAATGCCTCCAAAAGCTCCCAATTAAAAAATTTATCTAAAAGATGGCTATTTTGAAAAAGACATGAGATGTCTAAAAGATATACTGAAAGACCTCTTTAAAACATCAAAAAGATGGCTTAGGCGCCGTTTTCAGCCCTCATTTAGTCACCCTTCAAAGTTTATCAAAAAAACATCTGGTTTGTGACACACAATATTAGATAGATATAGAAATAACGAATTCTTACACCACGTACCTAGAGAACATAATAAGCAAAGATGGTAAAATAAACTAGGAGGTTCTAAATCGAGTGACGAAGGCCAAATGACTTTCTTTTTTTATTTAGATTCTCCTCTTCCTTATCTTTTAGGCTATACGGGGTTTTCTCAGATCAGAGGATGAGGGCGAGGGATTAATACCAGAGTTAAAAGCTACCTCGTCACCAGGATGCGAACTTGTAATTATTCTATCAAGTTAAATATATCATCAGGTTGCCGGTCAACAGCTCGGCTACCCCGCCACCAAAGGCCAATGGATTGTACCATTACGTATCCAAAATTGTCATGGGTAAGCGAGAAATGAGTAGAGATGCCAAAATTCGGATATTTAAATCTGTGTTTCTACCAGTTCTTCTGTAAGGATCAGAAGGCTGGACAGCCCTCGACAATCAAGTAAGTAAGATTACATTACCAGAAATAAGGTTTCTCCGAAGAATAGTTGATAATACCAGAAGAGATTGCGTCAGAAATGAAAGAATTCGGGAGGATTTTCAAATCGCGCTACATCATGCAAGAATTGAAATTAAATGGTACAGACATGTCTATAGAGTGAACCAGGCGTGCCCAGCAGCAGGTTTTATAGCGCAAGTTGCGCCATCAAAATGTTTGAAGGGACATATTTCAAAAGATAATTGAATTTTTGAGGGGTGCACATTTCAAAGGGGTTATGAATTTTCGGAAAAAAAAGTTTCAGAGTAAAGGACAAAGAAAAAACATGAAACAGTGTAATTGTGTATGATCTATGGCTTTTGTAATTATACTTTCCCTTGCTCTGTTTTTAAGAAAATGAGCAATAAAATATATTGGATGGGGAGGAGATAGGTTTTGTGCCATTGACCTGAGAGGGGGGAGGGATGGGCACCCCTGGAGTGAATGATACTAGAAAAGTCAGGTGGTACTTGACTATCAGGATACATATACTTGGACACGGGCGGATCTGCGGAGGGATGGAAAAATGGTTAAATGTAACCATGTTTTATGGAAATAAAAATAAAAAAAATATCTCTTAAAGTATTATTGTTCGTGTAATTACATTTAAAATTACTTCAGGAATTACTTTAAAACCATTTCATATAGGTAGTTAGTTTCTTTTTTTCCAAAATAATTATCGTTATTTTTATGAAAAAAAAGCTTTCGAGCTAAAGCCCCCAAAATTAAATATTGGTTCTGCTAGTGTACTCGGATTGCATATTACAAATCAATCTCGATGCAATGTTCGAAAACTTTTTCATACCACTGTACACAGTCAAAATAACACTAGTTTTCAAGGGCATTTTCTTTGTTTTTTTTTTCCTTAACTCCTGGACGGTGAATCTAAGCGAGTTAGATAATAAAATCATACGATAAAAATCAAATTGTGTATTTGAATCACTTACTAAATTTCATCTTTTTCAAATATAGTTTAAAATACGATTTACAGTTTCGCTGGAGCTTGGAAAATTGTTCTAAAAACAATGAAAGACTTATTGTATGAGAGAAAAGAGTAGAAGAGAATTGAAAATAAATCATATTAGGATGGTTGCCTCTTCGTCCTAAAAAAAAAATTATAAGTTATGTATCTTTAAGCAAATGACATTGTTTATATTGTATTAAGCAAATTGGTGGGGAGATTATATAACCTTCATGAATTCTGCAAGACTCTCAGTTCTAATAAACCGTCCACTTCTTATAGCTTCGTTTTAAACACAGTGAGTATATGTATATACTTACTTTATATAATTGTGGGTATAAACCTTTAAGGATTATATCCTTTTCATTAAGGAGACATTGTTCAAATTAAGGAAAACAACCTTAATCATTTTGTTGTATATTTACATGCTCGATGAGAGGGGAGTTCGGCCTGAGTCACAGCTATGAGGCCAGGTTGCCTATAAGGTTTAATTTTTAACTTTATACAATAAATATATAGTGATATACTAACTATTTAATATTTTTGTTGCATCTTTTACAAAAGGGTTTGGTTGAGTTTTAGTAGTCAATTTAATATTTAAGAGTAGGAGGGAGGAATTAATCTAGGAAAAGAGGAACAGTAAGTTTCTGATTACAGCCCTCTAAATATATATGTTTATATATAAACATAAATAAAGCTAAGAGATGCAATATTACTTTATATTTCAGTGTCGCCATAATAAGTAATCCGAACTTCGGCTGTCCCAACACTCCAGTAATCCAAACTAGTTAGACAATATAAAAAAAAGCCACTATCTCATCATTTTTTTTTTGAGATTTTTTTTAGTAACTATGAATTTTTTAACAGCTAAATTTTACTAAATAAAAACCTCTTGCGAAGTAGGTTTAATAACTACATCACCATTTCTGTTGTTTGAATATGAATTATGAAAGTTTATATTATTTGAATTAAAATTTATCTTTCCTACCATTCTAAAACAACTGATTTCAAAAACATTAGATTATACAGTTCGTAGATCAAAGTGCAAAAAATGTAGAAGTTTTCATTTTTTAAGTTCTATAAATGGGTGAAAACAAGGATTGCGCAGATGGAGTTTTGATAGGGCTATGAATTTTTGTAGTAAAATGTTTCAGATCTGGAAAAGGTGAAAAACTTGTACCAGACAATAGTGAATGTAATTATATATGATAAATGATTTTTCTATATTCACTTTAGCTTGAAATTTTTTTAAGAAGTGGAAAGCAATCAAATTTCTTGGAAGGAGCTCATGTGTCTTCGACCTTGGTAGAGATGGGCACCTCTGATGCAAACATGTAAACAATTAAAATATCAACACAGGCTCTCTCAGTTGAAGTTATGTATGGCAGTCAAAAATCCACCTCTTTCTAGGAAATTTTTTCTTTTTTTTTCTATTTATATCCCCTGAACAATATAGTCAAACAAAAATGTTATTCTTGAAGAAATAAATATCGTCTAACTTAAAAAAAATAATGTTAAATTTTGCGAAAAATGGTACCACAACTTAATAATTTTTTACTTCCACTTACCTATATATGAAATATATGGATAAGGGACAGTATTGCGATCCTGAAAAATTTTCTAATCTGAGTTTTCAACGAAAGACGTATTTTGAGGTCTCCGGAGTCCAAATAACCAAGTCTCGCAAAATTATTTGCGTATGTGTGGGTGTATATTTGTATGTATGTGACAGGTCTAGCCCAGAAACGAAAAGTTGTATGAAAGTGAAATTGCATATTTAAGGTTTGTATATACCTGAGATGTTACAGCAATTTTTTCGTCAAAATCGGCTAACCGGAAGTGGCGCTTTATATCATCGATGAGAAACATTTTTAGCATTTTCTCGAGAACGGCTATAACTATTTTGATTAAATTCATAATATCAGAGCAAAATTAAGCAGTTTTTAATATTATGTAGGTTTTATTCTCATCGATGTTCTCTAACAGAGCTTAAATGGCTAATTTTCAATATTAGCTTCCTCTAAATTAATTTAATTTTTTTTATTTGAAACAATTAACCATTTCACAATGATCTCTAATATAAACAATAGTTAAATATAATATAATATGAAAGAATTTGATGATCAACTAAAGGAGAAATAAGAGATTGTAAAAGGTAATAGTTGTAATGAAGAAACCAAAGAGATACGAGCTCACCCGAGCTACTCCGAAGATTAGAATTGTCTTCCATAGTACCTACAATATTATGTACATATACATATGTGATTTTCCTAGATATTTTCGTTGGTATTATTTAATATTTAATTGCATAGATTCCAGCGATATAAATATTAAAATGTGTATATATGAGGATACTTAAACAAATAAAAATATCCATAAGGAAATATAAAGGAAGCAGATGGTCCAGGGTGGTGGTCATAAAAAGGCCGAATAGAGGTAAAACTATTTTTATTAAAAGCCGACGTTTCGACCCGACTTTGCAGATCTTCTTCAGGGAGGTGTGTTCAGCTAGGAGTTTAACTTAGAACTGCTTCCCAGAACTCACTCAGAACTGACTAGGAGTTTCACTTAGAACTGGAAAGTTCTAAGTGAAACTCCTAGCTGAATACACTTCCCTGAAGAAGACCTGCAAAGTCGGGTCGAAACGTCGGCTTTTAATAAAAATAGTTTTACCATTATTTAGCCTTTTTATGACCGCCACCCGGACCATCGCCTTCTTTTATAATGCAACGGTCAACTATTAAATATTCAATAATTCAATATAGCGTTTATAATTTTTACTTTCACTTCCCCTTTCTCTGAAATAATTATTTCTGCTAAGAAGAGGTAAATGAAAGTTCTGTGATGAGGGCACCATATTTTTAAAATGGTACGGAAGAAAACCTCTGTTGTTAACAAACGTTTTTACCTAGTTTGTCAACAATTGAAATATAATACTTTTAATGAAATATGAATGTAAGAATTATAAATGTATTTATTCAACTAAATATTTTGGTGCGCAAACACACATTATACAATTTTTTTTACCACTTTCAGGTTTCTCTCACAATCTGTCCATGTTAATTGAGGCAATCATCATATTAGTAGCTACGTTATGTGCGTCATACTATTGGTTGTTTGGCTTCTGGAATAGGAGGAATGTCTTCAACGTCAAATTCCAAATTACTTTTCTAACATTCATTAAAGTATTAATAAAGAATGAACACCTCGGAAATATCTTTGCCGATATATACAAGTAAATTTAAATTTAATATTTGAAACCTCTCACTGCTTGAATGGCAAAGAGGAAATGTATTATGATTACGAAAACAAGACTTTATGAATTAGATACAATAACCATTTCATTTTAGGAAATACAAAAGCCATGGTATGGTTGGATTTTATATACTGTTTGATCCAATGCTATTAGTGACCAATCCAAAATTAGTTGAAGAGGTGATTGTGAAAGAATTCAATAAATTCCATGACACTCCAACGGAAATGAAGAAGGGAATCAACCCTCTATTCGCACTTAATCCATTCGCTGCAAAAGGAACGGAAAAGTGAGTACCTTACCCTTCAATTATAGCATTAAAAATAAATATTTTTTTAAATGGCTTCAGTCATCTCAAATGGGAGGATAGATATATAGATAGATATAAGCGTTTATTTGTTTATAAAGTGCGAAATATCATATTTTTTTCACATATAATTAAACGATTTATCGACAATAAACTTATGTTCGTCTGTTTGCGTGTTCGCCTAGCATTTTCTTTGATATCTTATCTTTTAAGAATTCACAGTTTCAATATAACAAGTTCTCAATTGCAATATTATCTACTTAATTAAAAATAATCTTAGTTTTAACTAAAAATTCTTACTATTGATTCCTCTACTTCTTTCTTCTTTCCTCAACTTGCGGGCGTACCACAAGGTAGTGTTTTAAGCCCTCTTCTATTTTCTATCTACATATCTGATATCCCTGAGCATCCTAGCACCATTCTCTATAGTTTTTCAGACGATGCGGCAATACTTTCTTCTCACAAAAATCCCACTATCGCCTCAATAGCCCTTTAAAATCACCTGCACGACTTTGGTAAATGGTTCCACAAATGGAGAATTAAAATCAATCCCAGCAAGTCAACTCATGTTAGCTTCTCCCTGAGGAAGATGTCGTGTCCTGCTGTGACAATATACAATAAACCAGTTCCCTCAAAAACACATGTACGGTATCTCGGACTATACGTGGACAAAAAACTCACCTGGAACATTCACACTAAATTAAAAAAACAAGAACTGACCAGACGATACAAACAACTGTCACATCTTTTAGACTACAGATCTCCACTCAACTTACTACACAAGCGACTAATCTACACCACCTACTAAGACCTATTTGGGCATACGGAGCCACTAGCGGATCCAGGATTTAATTTTTTTTGGGGGGGGAGGGGGCTTCAGCCCGGAAGATTTTTTTTTCATATACATATAACGATAATTAATTTAAAAAAAAAGAAATTAACTACCTATATGAAATGGTAATTAAGTGGTTCTTGAAGTAATATTAAATGTAATTAAACGAACAAGAATACTTTAAGAGATAGTTTTAAAATTTTTTACTGTAAAACATGATTATAGTTTACCATTTTTGGGGGGGGGGAGGAGAGCTTCAACCCGAAAGTCCTCCCCCCGTAGATCCGCCTGTGTACGGAGCAGAACTTTGGGGTTCCGCAAAACACACACATATAAACAAAATTCAAATCACACAATCCAAAATACTTCGTAAAATCGTCAATGCTCCTTGGTTTATTTCAAATCACACCATACACAAAGACATGAACATACCAAAAGTAAAATCCTACATATACAACATGTACACAAAATTTCATTCTTCTACTCTCAATCATCCAAATCCTCTCGTTCTATCTCTATCTTCCTCCCAGTTGACTCAAAGACGACTAAAAATGCAGTGGCCAAGAGATTTTCTGCTGAAAAATTAAGAAAATATCAATAATTCAAAAAGATAGAATAAACTACAACACATTTGCTTGATGCGTTATAACGCAGTGGCAAATTTAATGGAAAATAAATATAAAAATTTAAATATACCTATATAATGTACAAATATACATGAACAGAAACTTCTTAGATACCTTTCGTCATCTGTGAAACTGATACCGGATGTCGAGCAGGTTCGGCACAGGTACCACAAGTATACAAGTACCCTGGTCCAAGTTTACCTGCTATATTATACCTTGCAAATGTTTCATGTTTTCTTTCTTTCTTTCTTTCTTTCTCCACTGACTCTATTTATTTTTATTTAATGAAATATATTACAATTAGCTTATTCACCATCCCCCATTCATAGCGATATATATTATTACTTCCATTTTATACATATTATATCTTATATACAATATACCACATTAATATATATTATATCTTACATTGTAGATGGAAGGAGCTCCGAAGTATTCAAGCTTCGAATATGACCACATTCAGGTTCAAGGAGATTCTCCCGATCATATATTGTGTAGCTGAGAACATGGTAAATTACTTGACAGAAATGAAAATGGAACCCATCGCGGTAACTATTTAATATTTATATTATTATTAAAAGAAATTTTAAAAATGTAATTAATTATCTTTTAAATTATTTTGGCTTAGGCAAAAGAACTCTCCTTCTTGTTTTCTGTGGAAAGTTCATGTTTATGCGGATTCGGTGTTCAACCTAATGCATTTACCGACTCGGAAAATAGTTTTATCGAATATTCAGAAAACATTTTCAAACCTTCGCCGTTTACGATGTTCTGTCACTTTTTATTGCCTTGGATTGGCAATCTTCTCAAACTAAGGTAATTTATATTGATTAAATATTTAATAGCATTTTACTTCAGAACCCTCTCGTTTCTAACCTTGCTTTCTATTCGATCCCTGATAACCCTCAGAAGCGCCTGAAAAGAAGATGGCCTCGAGATCTTCTATTGTAAATAAATCTTAGTAGGTTCTCAACAAGTGTTTTCATGTTATCATTTTCTGTTATCACATTTATTGAATGTATTTCTTTTTCTGAATAAATTTGTAAATATCATAAACTAAAAAAAAGAAATAGTATTTAGATTACGATGATGGGCTGAATAGTAAAAAAACAAACAAAAAACACATACACAATATACTCGAAATAAAACCAACCTCAAACATTAGTATTATTATTTGTTATTTTGCTTTTGTTCATTTTATATTTTCTGTATACAGGATGTCTCACTTCTTAATGACCAAACAGTGGGGAATGATCCAGGACAAAATTTGTAGAACCATTTGAAGGATGGACCAATTTCGAACGAAAAAAGAGTTACGACCAATTTTGATTTTTTTAAATATGGTCAATGATAAAAGGGACTTTCAGGGGGTCTAATACGCGCATATCTCTGTATGAAAGTATTGTATATAAAGAAGGCATTGATTGTAGTCAGCTGTGTGTGTGTGTTGTGTCAAAGTTAAAGTATGCTTAATAAACGGGTTCTCATCTATGGGTGTGTATTCATGTGTTTCCTCATTAAACTGTTATTACTCTCAAAGGATAAGGGCTCGGTACCAGACAGTGGATTAAGTAAAGTTATTGATATTAGGAAGTGTGTTCAGTTACAAAGTTCAAAATTCCCAAGAGTAAATTGAAGGCATCATGGCTACTGCTTCTGTACAGATTCCGAATAACTTTTCTACATGGAATTTTCTGTTATTTAGTATGCTCGATGAAAAATGAGGACTGGATGTGGTTAAAATAAAGAAAATATCAAAAAGAGATAAGGCAATGATGGCGAGTGAAGCCAAGGCTCGATCTATCATAATCGTGTGTCTCTCTGAAAGCATATAGAATACGTAAAGAATGCAACGACATTGTTTCAGATGATAAAATGTCTTGAGAACATTAAAGAGTACTGTCGAAATTATATTTACGTCGTAACGTAGTACAGTGACTGTGGTGAAAACACAGGACTTCAAGACCAATTCGTTAAATTCAACGAGATCGTTATAGAACTAGAGGCAGCTGGTACAAAAACGGACGAAGGAGTGGCGTTTAAGAGAAATAGGATCTTCTTAATTCGTAAACAGTTGAGAATGTTCATTAAGATGGACTAAGACTTGAGATGGAACTAACTGATTTTAATAATGTCTCTATGCTGTCTGAAAAAACAGATAGACCTAGAACCAGGTCCGAATAAAGTATTTTAAGCAGTTCAATCTTACAGGTTGATTGTATTCCTGTGAAAATTTTCTTAAAATACAATTTAAAATAATACGCCATTATAATTATGAATTTTAGTTTCTGAGATATTTTAATCTTTTATCTATTTTAAGGATTGAAATTCGGATTTGAATGCTAAAAGTGAGAGAAATGTTCATCATTCCATCCTCTTTGTAGTGAGCTGTTATTCAAAATCTTAACGCGACACCGTCTTAGAGAGGTGAAAAAAGAAAAAAAACAGTGTCGAAAATCAACTAGTAAGGTTAGACCGACGAGTTTTATTGAAGATATGGATTAGAATATCAGAAACTAAAATTCGGACATGTAAGCGAGGTAATTATTGAGCATTTCATCCTTCTTGTAATGGTCTATTGTTCAAAAATTTATCTTAACGTGACCAAGAGAAAATTTTCTTAAAATGCTCCTAAATTTTGAACTTTTTGTTGCATTGAAATTCTACTTAAATCGACCTGTCTGTGCTGGCAAATGAACATTTTCGTAATAGCTAACAGGATTACAGGCCTGTTAGGTTGAAAATTTGCTGAAAAGACTAAGATCTAAGAAATATAAGGAAAGTGAGTATGGTGGCTGTAGAGAGTTTGAAGAAGAAACAGTAGAGTTTATACTTATTACTTTTTCAGCAATATTGTTTTTGAATTATCGCTAGTTTTCTAATGCATTAACCAAGTAAAAGTGACAAAGGTGTGTGGAGTTAAGTGACATGTTTTCTAGAGGAACTTGATAAAATTTATACAGTCTCATTTTTAAAATAATAGCCAACTCTCATACATCTCAGAGAAAAAAAAAATGTGCCGTGTCTGAAGAATAGGCATATTTAAAAAAAATATATGTAATTGCGCATGCGTAATGGCAGTAGGTGATATGTTTGACACATGGGTTTGGCTTCAGACAGACAGACTAATACGCAGATACAAATGCAAATTTGATCCTTTATGTCTAAAACGTAAAATGTGAGAGTAAATTTTCGATTCTGAGTAAAATTACCTTTACTTCCCGGACGAATAACAAAGCTTCCCTAGCTTTGGTAGTGAGGGAGCCATATTTAACACATGTAAATATTAAGAAGGAAAGAGCCCGAAATAATATTTTTCCATCCTTAAATATACAAATTTGTTTTCTTTTTTAGGATTTTATCAAAAGATGCAGAAGAATCCTTTATATTATTTGTTAAAACAATATTCGAATACAGATCGAGGTCAAATGTAACGAAAAATGACTTCATCTACTATCTTATGAAATTAAACCAAAAGTTGAAAGAAGGAAATAAACCAGGTAGATGAAAACTTGATATTTTATTTAAACATTAATTAGTTAAATAATTATTTTGTAATATGAATACACAGAGTGTGTTCTGCTAAAGCTACAAAGGGAATATTAACAAAATTTGTCGAGATCCTAAACAAGATTTACAATTGTACTGAAGCTTCGGGTTGGACTAGGGATGGGCGATAGTCGATAGTACTATCGATATATCGATAGTATAAAAATATAGATAGCTCTATCGATATTCTTAGTAACTATCGATGGTTCGTATCCTCCCTTTAGGCAAATATTATTTTAAAATTTTATAAACTTAAAGGAAAAATTTTAATAACAGGCTTTCATACTTCTACCCATCATTGATGTATGAGATATAGTGATAATATAATAATGCAAAAATTAAATGTTTGATAATAGAAAATTGTTTTTTTTTTATTATTTGAAAATTAATACATTCTGCCACATTAACGGAGGGCATTAATATTAGGGCTACATTAAACATTCACACAATATATACATACAAATGATAATTAAAATAGAGATAAAAGAAAAAGAGTTGTAGAAAGTAAAATCAGAAAATTAACATTCATATGTAAAAAAAAAAAAAAAAAAAAAAAAACATGTTTGAGAGAAACTAAATGAAATTAAAATAGATAAAACACATTCACAGCTATATACAATATTTACATTTGCCCAGGAGACTCTGAGTCATGCTTTGTTCCCCAAATTTGGTAGCCAAGGCAGGATTCCAGGAGATCCCAGTGCTTCTCTACCTGCCGCATCACTGGTATTGGAAGCCAGTGGAGACTAATGGAGGGCACTTGAGCGAGAGACTCTTATGACTTGAGTGGAGAATCTGACCAATGCCAGTACTCCAATATATACATATTTACAAAAGGTCGCGGGGCCACTGCCGTTTTAATCTCGGGGGAGGATTGTAGGAATGGCTGGGACTAGATAGAGATATTACTACATGATTTGGATGCTGAGTGAAGTTCTGAGTGAGGGGGGGAAGAGGTTTTCGGGCTGAAGCCCTCCAAAATGGTAAAATATAACAATGTTTTATAGAATTAAAAAATAATTATTGTTCGTATAATTACATTTAAAAGGACTTAAGGGGTCACTTAAACACCATTTCATATTGGAAGTTAGTTTCTTTCTGTTTATCCAAAGTAATTATCGTTATTTTTATGAAAAAAAAGGTTTTGGGCTGAAGCCTCCCCCCAAAATTAAATCCTGCATTCACTAGTGGGTTCTGATGAAATTTGGAAAAATTATTAGAGATTTGGCCTATAACAAACGGGATATGAAGGTCATTATGGAGGGTTTTATTGGTTACATAGAAGAAAACATCGACTATTGATCGGAGGATTTTGGACTGGAAGGATTGAATGCGCTTAATGTTAAAAGGTTTTGTTGTCCTCCACAGCTCTTGCCCTTAGGTCGAGATAGATTTCAGGATTGTTTTGTAGATCAGTAGTTTGTTGACGACTGAAAGTTGAAATTTTCTATTCATTAGTCTACATAGCTGTCCGTATCGTCTGATAAGTAGTTATGTGGGTTCCACGTGGATAAAAGATGGCAACATTTTTTTACACAACTTGAGGTGAAACTCAAGAATTTACCTAATAAACTTCAATTTAATTAATATCGACTTAAGGCTTATTAAACGAAGAAGTTTTTCTAAAAGTGGGGTTTCTGTAGTATAGTTAGATAATGATAAAAAAACAAAACAATCTTCAATAACTTATGATTTTTTTTTTTAAAACAGGACTTAGCCAAGTTTAGCCACTCAAAAGTCCTCTTTAAATGGTTTTGACGATGACAAACTCTATTTTAATTTGAAGGAAATTTGATCTAGTTTGCAGTGAAGTAATCGATAACTATTTAAATTAAATATTTCTTTAGTTATCGCTTCCTATTAATCAAACAGCATGACTTACTTAAAAATAAACTTGGATTTCCAATGTTAGTGATGAAAATAGGCAAATTATTTATATGAACTTTTTTGTAGGAATTGAGATCTGATATAACTCTTATAAAACTTTCCCTCTACTTAGGGACACCCTGTATATTATTATTACCTATTATCATTATACTTTTTTTTCCTTCCAGAGTATTCAAACGTAGAATTGGCAGGACACTGCTTGACATATTACTTGGACAGTACCCAGACCACATCAAACCAACTGGCCTTTTTTCTCCTCGACTTAGCAAATCACCAGCACGTCCAGGACAAGTTGAGGAAAGAAATTTCTTCAATTTCAAACTCTCCGAGAGATTTCGATCTAGAAAAAGTCAACTCCATTAGATATTTGAATATGGCAATTAACGGTAAGTGCTAAAAAATATTTTTGGTTTATTATTTTCAATAATCAACCATTGTGATCGACCTAAAAATTCAAAAACTTAACTCCCTCTCAAAATTTGTGGTTTCACGTTTCAGGATGCGTAGAATTCGAAAAACGAATAAAAAAATTTTTGTCCGTCCGCCGTCCGCGCATTTTCTTCGAAACTACTGTACCGACTTTTTTTTGAAATTTGGATATAAAATCAGAGGTCACCCGAAAGGATGATCCTAATTCATCGACATTATATCCGCCTTTTACTTTCAAAATGACGGCCGAAAAACCTGCGTTGCTATAGACTGTAGCGCCTAAACGAATGTAGGGATTTCAATGAAACTTCGCTAAAGTCATTTTCTCGACGCCCTTTAAATTTCTCTATATAACATACTTCAAAGAAAAGAAGCTGGAAAAAAAGTTACGAGGGATGGTAAAGTTTAATTCCGAATAACTCAAAAAGTATACTCTCATTTGGGGATGTTGTATATTGTTTTTTAAAAGATTTTGAAGTTTCCTAAAAACAAAAAAAAATAATAAATAAATCGTTAAAATCGGACAATTAGGAGGAAAAATATGGTCTCCGGTTTTTTAAATATATTCTACTCCAAATGTTATATCCTTTGTTTGGTTTTTAAATTTTGAATGTGTTACTGATGTAATGGTATTTTTTATAGCATATTACTAATGATTAAAAAAAAATAAGTTTAGTCCAATAATTTGAATCACCTTTTATTTATATTTCTTTGTAACTCGGAAGGTAATGTTACTTTAGATGTATAATTGTTTGGAAATAATAAACCATTGTGGAATAATTTGCAGCGTTTTTTTGTATTGAAATTATATAAACATTAAAAAATATATATCTAGTTACTGTGAATTATGGTAAAATGATATGAAAAAAAAACGTAGAGAATCTACACATTGGTAGTACTTTAATATAAATTTTATGTTAGGCATGCCCGAAGCCATCTCATTTTCTGTTGCCTAGGAGGATTATCAGGAATCATATATAACCGAGTCAAATTAGCACAACTAAAGGTTGGGTAATTCAAATTTCTTTTTTACATTGTTAGGCGTATGGTGAAAATAAAAAATCTAAATTTTAGATTTGTTAATACTTGTGAGTTCGCAGCAGTCCTCCAAAAACAGTGGCCGAACGGACTAACGCGTGTGCCGTTGCCCGGCAACCTGATATATTAAGACAAATTGATAACAAATAATCACGAGCACGCATCCCGGTGGCGAGAGAGTCTTTAAAATCCCCGCTCTCACCCTCTGGCCCGGGAAAACCCCGTATAGCCTTAAAGGTGAGAAAAGGAAGAATCCCCTCCCACAAAAAAAAAAAAAAAAAAAAAAAAAAGACCTCTGAAAACAACTGAAATTTCGAACTTATTGTTTTGGTTTACCCTAAATATCTCCTTTCTCCAACGATGGCTTAAAAGGCTTACATTCAATCTTAAAGAGCTTAGAATCAATCTTAAAGGCTTACAATCAATCTTAATAACTAATTAAGAGTAGAAGAATGTGGTGTGAAGTAAAAAATAGTTAGTTAATTAAAATAGTAGTTAGTTAAAATAGTAGTTAATAGTTATTTGACCGCACCCTCAACTAACTCCTTCTCATAAAAAATAGTTAGCTTCTGTGTCTTTATTAGTGTTGCCCAAATGCGAGACCGAGACGAGTCTTGGTCTAGCAAACTCAGTCTTGGTCATGGTCTTGGTCTTGCGCAAGAGTCTCACCACAGTCTTGCAGTTACTTATTAGTTTATTGCTATAGAGATATTACTGTAATTTTTTAGATAGAAGAAACCTAACTAAGCCCGAATGAAAAATTAGAGGTGTTAAGTGCAAAATAATTTTGATTATACCAATTATTAACATATAGTAACTAAGATTATCAACTATTAGTAACTATCTTGTCTTAATTTTTATTTAAAAAGTCAACCAATTCTGGTCTTGGTCTTGCAACAGTTAGGCGGCTTTGGTCTTGGTCTTGCAAAGTGCAAGACCAAGACCAATTTTGGGCAACACTAGTCTTTATCCGTTTCTTTTGGGGATCCTCTTGTCTTAGTTTCTCCATCTAGGTATCTTTACTTATCCTGCATCGATAGATCTTTTTTTTTTTCTCCTATTAAACCCTACCTCGCCATTTATGATATACGGGAAGAGAGGAGTTGTTTAAGATATAAAAGCAAAGCTATTATAACCAGAATGGGAAGGTCGAGATTTATTCGTTGTGTCCACCACGAAATGAATTAAAGTTTACCGAACTTAAACACGTTCAGCCATCACAACTTTGCTCGCTCTTAAAACAAACAAATCCCAATATATTTTTTTCGTTGATTTGGGCCTTAATAATTAACATAACTACAGTGGTAATTTTGATCAAACTATTGTAATATTTAAGTTTCGATATATATATATATATATATATATATATATATATATATATATATATATATATATATACATATATAAGTTAAGCGTCGTCGGACTTCAAAAATAAAAAAAAAGAAGGAAAGGGATAGAGATGCAACACTCACGGCTTCTGAATAAACACTCCTTTATTCGATCAGTAATTCTCCTTATATACATTTAGCATCTTTGTTTACATTGCCAGATGGTATTAAGGCTGATATCGCCAGTCTCCGGTCTTTATCTCATATATATATATATATATATATATATATATATATATATATATATATATATATATATATATCGTGAACGTGATGGTGAAAATAGAAAAGTTTGGAGATAGGTCGACACCATTTACTTTTTGGCGGATTTCGCTACCCTCTGAAATGTTCGAAATTAAATTTACATTGAGATCTGGTGAGCTTTTGGCTAGATGACATCTTTCCAACCGTGTTTTAAGTAAATACCATTTTGTTTTATTTTCGGTTTTAAAATTATAAAACAATTTGTATGTACTAACTATACTGATTTTTTTACACCATCAGAAAGCTTAAGGATGCACACTCAAGGTACTTGGATATCCCGTACTTGTACTCAGGATGCTGTTATTGGAAATACTCCTATACCCAAAGGTACCAAAGTCTTCGTTCCGGTTGAAGCGTTCCACAACGACCCGGAGTGGTTTCCCAGTCCTGAAAAATTCGATCCTGAAAGATTTTCTGAAGAGAGAAAGGACTCCATTCCCAAATACACCTTTCTTCCTTTTGGAGAAGGACCAAGGATATGTGTTGGTATGTTATTCCGTAAAATGATTAACTGTGAGCTAAATAATAAATATCAATCTATCTACAGCTGAGATAAATATATGTATATGTATATCATGAAAATTACCCGTAATCCGAGAATGAACAATTTAATTGAAGCTAATATCTTTACCTTGCAAATAATATCTGCATTTAGAATCATGACTATTTCAATTTTTTTTTAAAGTTTATTGTCACCATATTCAAGGAACAAACGAGATTACAATAACCTTCAAACACTTATTGTATCCTCAAGCCTGGAAGGGAAAATCTTTCTTCAAATTGACGAAGTTGACCGAACAACTCTTGTGTAGAATTATACATTCTGTTAAAAGGATCAACTTCGAGCAGAGATTGATTGATTAATATAATTAACACTATTTACTATATATATATATATTACTTATCTGATGTTAACCATAATTTGTATAATTAATTATTATAAAAATGACCTTTTTTTTGTTAGCATTACAGACCATACAGATCTTTTGCCGCCTTAACAAGCCTGCTCCATCTCTGCCTGTCTTGGAATATTTCTTTCCATTTATCCGCACGCAGCTCTGTTGCATCATTGTTGATTCTGTCTATCCATATGTTTTTTTGACCTTCATTATGGGCTTTTGCCTTCTCTAGATGCATTTATTGTTACGTGGAGGCTTCCAGATGGATTGCTGGGGGCTACATGACCCAACCATCTTAACCTCCGTGCTTTTATATCATGGGATATTGATTGACCAGTTTCTATAAACAATCCTTTATTGGTCTTTCTTCTCCATGTGTTAACGCTCTGATCGCTTCAGTTATCTTGCGGAGGATTTTTCTCTCAAATCTTTCAATATTTTTTTCTAGGGTGCTGGTTAGTGTCCAGGTCCCATAGAAATATATTATAACTGGCTTTATCATACCATTGTACATTTTTAATTTCAGATTTTTAAGAGTTTTCTTGGGATTTTAATACGTTTGAAAGAAAAAGAAAGCTCTATTTGCGTTAGTTACCCACTGGTCTATTTTTAAACGTTGGTCATTCACTGATGATATTGTGAAGCCGAGGTATTTAAATATTTCTACTCTCGAGAATGATTTTCCTTCTATGAACATCCTGTTATTGGGGTGGAATTTTCATCTTATTTTTTGTTTTGTCATCATTTACTTGTATACCTATTCGCTCTGCCTTAAAATCTTAGCATTAACTTCCCACAAAATACTAACTTGCCACAGCATATTCGTATCTTATTACAGGAAAAACGCAGAGCAAGATCGAAGTGGCATAGGACTAGATACCCAACAGATAAATCGCATTACACACAACTGACTAACAAACTGAAATCAGAAATTAGAAAATACAAAATTTAAAATTTACTAAATTTTACTGAAAAACTTACAACCACTGACAAATCATTAAGGATGACCACCAAAAAACTTCTTAAGTTTCAAGACTTTAATCACCCACTACTTACTGGAAATCCGTATAACAGGTATTTCCAAACCTGGTCCAAATCCGACGAAGAAAAAGCCCAACTATTTGGTCAACATCTCTTCCGAACTTTTAATCCACATCCCGATATCCTTAATTCAACTCACATCAATTGTATTGAAGCAGAACTGGATATTCCTCTCCAAATGTCTCTGCTACCCAAAGCATTTCATCCCATAGAAATATCCAACATCATTCAAAAATTACCTTTCCGTAAAGCTCCTGGACATGACCTAATTACATCCAAGATCCTAAAACTTCTTCCTCGAAAAGCCATCCTATTCCTTACTTACATATATAATGATGTACTCCGTTCTACATATTTTCCTGATCTTTGGAAACGATCTATTGTTAAAATGATCCACAAACCCAAAAAACCACCAGAATACCCATCCTCTTACCGTCCTATCTCTCTTTTACCCATCATGGGCAAAATCCTAGAAAAACTCATCTTAAAACGCCTGTACCCTATCCTAAATTCTGAACACATAATCGCAGATCACCAATTTGGTTTCCGAACTTCCCATTCCACTATACAGCAATGTCATCGTGTGGTAGACGTAGTCTCCTCTGCATTGGAGCGCGGAATGTACTGTATGGGAGTCTTTCTCGACGTTGAACAGGCGTTTGATAGAGTTTGGCACCCCGGACTGCTGTACAAACTCCGGAAATTCCTACCACCTACATACTTACTCATTATCCGTTCCTACCTTACTGATAGATACTTTAAAGTAAATCACAATAACGCCTATTCATCCCTTTTTTCCCAGTCCGCTGGTGTTCCTCAAGGTAGTATCCTAGGTCCTATCCTCTATACAGTTTATACAGCTGACATCCCTACCTGTCCCAACACTGTCATCACCACATATGCCGATGACACATGTATCCTATCAGTAAACAATGACCCAGCAATTGCATCCCAAATGCTTCAATCACACATCATAAATCTAGAAGAATGGTGTCAAAACTGGAGAATTAAAATAAACTCCAATAAATCCCACCAAATTACCTTTACCCTTCGTCGTAAACCAACGACTTCCTGTCCTTCAGTTTCCTTTAACTATACTCCACTTATCCCTGTTGAGCAAATCCGATACCTAGGACTCCACCTGGACAAACGACTAACTTGGAATCCTCATACTAGACTGAAACGACAAGAAACCGCTCGACGTTTCCGATTACTTCAGCACTTACTAGAAAAACGCACTAAACTTCCCATTAATTACAAAAGACTCATATACTTGACTATAATAAGACCTATTTGGACTTACGGAGTTGAGCTATGGGGCTCCACTAAACCATCGAATTCCTCTCGCATCCAATCCTTACAATCCAAAATCCTTCGTAAAATCCTCAATGCTCCTTAGTTTGTCACTAATAAAATTATCCATAAAGATCTTAATGTTCCATATGTTTCCGATTTGGCCCAAACCAGATACCTATCCTTCCATAACAAACTGCAGAATCATCCGAACCCTCTCGTTTCAAACCTTGCTGATAACCAAGCGAGGCGTCTGAAAAGAAGATGGCCCCGTGATCTCCTAATGTAGTCATATCATTAGAGTGCTACCATTGGGTAGTTACTCAGCAAGTGTATTCATGTCATTATACCAATTGTGTCCAAATTTACTTGATGTATTTATGTAATACAGTTGTAAATGTCATAAAGAAATAAAAAAAAAAAAAAAATCTTAGCGAGTTTCTCTAGATCACATCCAAGGAAAGCTAAATCATCTGCATATCCAAGGATTTTATAATTAATTCCGAAGTGGACTCCTCCATTTTCGTGTAATATAATCTTCAGGGCTAAGTTGAACAACATCTGTGATCCCAGTCCATATTCCTGTCGTAAGCCCGTTCTAACTTTTATGACTTTAGATACTCCTCCTTGTATTAGGGCTCGACGTTTAGGGTCATTTGTAGACGCTCTTGTCAAACTCACCAACTTACCGGGAACTCCCTGTTCAGTTATGATTTTCCAAAGACAATTCTTGTCCAAGAATCATATGCTGATATATATATATATAATATATATATATATATATATATATATATATCCTCCGACTCATATCCCGACGTTCAATTTCCATCCTGAAACTCTTCCATCACTTCCGCCATCTCCTACCCATATCCACACGTAGACTCCTAGTATCCGCCCTCATCTTTCCCCACATTGACTACGGCTGCGTAGTGTACGGTGGCCTCTCATCGGAACTTGGAGACAGACTGAAAAGAATAATGAATGGCTTAGTACGATTTGTCAATGCAACCCCGAGACGTTCTCATGTTTCCCACTACCACGCCGAGTTAGGGTGGCTCTTTCCCTCCTTCAGAAGACAGTATAACCTAGGTACATTCCTTTACCAAATAATCTATAATCATCGTCCGTCCTACGCATTCAATCTCCTTCAATTCAAGTCATCTATCCACTCCCTCTCCACAAGATCTCGTCCTTCCGACCTTTATATCCCTTTCCACAAATCGGCCTCATTTCAACACTCCTTTATTGTCCGCTCCATCACATTTTGGAATTCCATCCCACTTAAAATCCACCATGCACCATCCTTATCCACATTTAAAACCCTGTATTCTTTGAACATATTAAGGTACATATGTAAATCATTTAAAGTAAATATTTATCCACTCTTTTACTATTATTTTTTCCATTAATACAATGGCATGACAACAAAAGTTATTTGTCGCTCATTTATAATTCCATAGCTTATTGTTTATAGCAACTATTTTGCAGTATTAGGACCTTATTGCTCATATTATGTCTTTACTTTATCTGTACAGTTATGTAAATACTTCTCTTATCCCGTATTTTTTATTTTTTTTATTGTAATATGCATTTTGGTCAGATGTAATGTTAATTTTATGTACAATATTGTTATTCTCAAGGGAATTCGTCCCAGAATAAAGTCGATTCTTCTATTCTATTCTATTCTATATTATTTTACTAATTTAATAACTATCAGTTAATGTAAGAATTTTCTCGTTACAGGTTACAAGCTAGCTTTACTCCAGATAAGGATGGCAGTGATATTCTTGGTTCTAAACTTCACCATCCTCCCATCCAGTAAAGTAGACAGAGAGGAAATCGTCTTGGAAAACGCGTTGTTACCAACACCTGGACATAATGCCAAACTGAAGTTCAAACCAATGAAGTGTATTGATCAATAAACATATTAGCATTAACATTTGATTCATATATACCTAAGATTTTAATAATACTCGTAATTAACAATTATGTATATATAAACAATATTATTAAAACTGGTTAAATTGTGTAATATCTTTGCCCTGATTCCAACTTTACAGATAGAATACAACTGGATCAAGTTCTATTTGACACCCATTGTTTAAAGATGTTAATGCCAATTTATGTATATTAAGTGAATACTCAAATAAGAGAAAAAATATCTAGTATCAACAAGTCTTAGAATAATAGTCGTTTGAACTGTTTCGATATTTGAACTTAAAAAGACAATTTTAGTTGTAGCTCGGCTTGTATGTAACCTGTCTTATGTGAAATTAATATTTATTGCGCTAGAGGCTTAAAAATATTTTTATATTGAAATATTCACAATTTCTGTTGCCTAGAAGTTAAATACCCGATATCCTAGTAAACGGTATATATTTAACTATGAAAATAAAATAGACAATCACTTGCCTGAATTCAGAAGGTAGAGTGGCACACAAGACCAGATTTTCATCCTAAAAAAAGTACTGGAAAAACAATAGAATGAAGCTCAGGATGAGCATGCCTTGTTTGTCGATTTGAGAGCAGCCTATGATTCAACTAATACAAACTGTGTTAGGAAAATTATGACTGAACTGGGTACTCCCGAAATGTTGGTAATATTGGAAGATAAAAATTACTTTAATAACGAGTCCTAACACAAGGAGAATTATTTGAAGCCTTCAATGTTAGAACTGACTCGGCTTACAAGTAAATGAGGATAAAAAACATATATGATAATAAGCCGAAAATTACACTAAAATAATAGGATCTGGGAACTTACCCAACAATTCCAAAGCTTACATAACTTAGGTGTTGGTAATAGAGAAAATTTTATATTTGTCTTGAAGTTTAAGAACACTATAAGCATTAAAATCACTTTTAGTTTCATTATTTATGTCTGTAAAAAACAACCATAGATCTACATTTTTCTAAGATGCAATCTTCATGATATGGCATTTTAAAGTTTAAAAAAAAAATCATAAATCTAAATCTTACTTACTTCTTTCCAAATGTACGTCAAGATCATCAATATGATTCTTCAAATTGTCAACATCTAGTGTTTTTACAGTAATGTCTCCATGTAGTTTAACCTTCTGGATCCAATAATCTCTTCATATGAATTTCATTGTCTCCTAAATTCTTCTACTTAACAGAATACTCTAAAACTGCTAATTATTGCAAACTAAATTCTCTTTTCAAGATTAGTTAAATTATTTATTGAACGACTTTTACATAATTTTTTTTTTTTTTTACATAATAGTTACACCAGGAGTGCACATCCACCCAAGTTCGATGGCGCGAGAAACTACCCCTTCCACTGTAAGCACTGCTGGGTCACATATCGTTACCAAATTTAAGTTTTCGCTATCCTCAAATCTCCTTCACGGATATTCCAGTTCACCATTCCTTCTTTGATGCCCTCATAACAGTTTCTCCTTGGGCGACATTTCTTACGTCTTCCTTCTGGTTTTCAATACAAAGTTAGTTTAAGACATCTTCCCTTTTCCATTTCCATAATAGTTCAGCCTCATTGTTTCGATGGTGTAGATGATGCTCTCCGTTCGTTTTACTTGTTACCTGATTGCACTATTTGGAACTCTTTCAAGGTAAGAGACACGACATGATCGCCTCCAATAGTCCATTTCGAGGGATATAATTTTTTTTATTGGCTTTCTTTAAAGGTCCAACTCTTTCAAGGAACGATTTATAATTTTATTTTAGTTTTTAGAAACACTAATTTACTCCACAACTCGGTACTTTAACGTTCTTATAAATATCTTTCTGTTGCTTAGGCGTTTTTCAATGTCCATGTTTGATGTTTCTACCATGTTCACACAGCTTCCTAGATACACAAATTGAGTTCCAGATTTCAAAATCCAAAAGTCCATATGTAGATATTCGCCTTGGTTTTTAAAAGGCCACATATACCGTTTTTCTTTGTTGACTTTCAGCGGCCCAACATAAGTATTGCCTTGGGGTGTTGCTATATCGTCTCCTTCTGAAGCGATGAGCACCAGTCAGCAAACTGAAGATCGAATAGGCAATCATTTGTAATCTTTACGCTCACACCTCTACATGTTTTATTTTCTCAACGTCTTTTCTACTTACATGTTTAAGAGAAGCGGAGATAGTGAACATCCCTGTTTTCAACCTTGTTGATGAGAAATCTTTTACTAACAGAAGCTCTGGTATTATGCTTTAGAATCATCATATAGGATTTTTATGGAGATTGTAAGATATGAAGTCATACTGAAATCTCAAGGCAATGGTACATAATGCAGAAGCGCAGCTAATACTTGTCAATTAAAGAAAAGCACACGATACAATGCCCATAAAGAAGCTGTGGGAAGCACAGGATGGTTAATTCATTAATTAAGTAATGGAATTAAAAATAAAAATAACATCAACAGTAGAGAATTAACTAACAGGAAACTATCACCAAAAATGAGAATAATGTGAAAACGAGGAAAGTGATGTCATTTGCATTTATAATATACAGACATTGGAGGTCGAATTCTTATACCACTGGTTCTCATACATTTTGCCACGAAACCCTTCACAGTGGGAGGAAACGTTCGATTTTCAAGATACGCGATAGATATTACGTATTTAAGATAGGTATATGCGTTAGATGTTACTGCAACTTTTTCCTTAAATTCGGCTAACCGGAGGTGTCACTTTATATCAACGCTGAAACACGTTTTGTACAATTCTCTCTAAAACGGCTCCAACGATTTTGATTAAACTCGGTGAATCATTGTATAATTAAGTGGTCTTTAATATCAAGTAGGTCTTATCCCCATTGATGTCACTTTATAGGACTTAAATATCCGATGTTCATATACGTCTTCCACTTTTTTTTTTCTTTATTGAGAAAAAAAAATACATTTCGCCTAAATTAAGGGCATTGAGTATTTATGATGAATGAAGTACAATCATACCATATATACAATAAAAGAACAACAAGATTATAACAAAATAAAATAAAATAAAACTTGGAGTAACAGAATAAATCAAACATGATACAACGTTAAAAACTAAAATAAAAAATAAATAAATAAAAACACATTCAAACTTATTTACAGTCAGCCGAGGATGCTGCGAGTCGGGGCTTTTCCCCCCACGTGTGGAGGACAAGGCAAGACTCCAAGAAATCCCAGCGCTTCTCTCTCAGCCGCATCACTAGGATGGGTCACGTCTTCCTCTAAAGTACCTTTTATATAGTTTGTTTTAAATAATAACTATTTCTCACTGTTATAAAAAAATGCTAAACATAACTTTTGAAAGAATTTGATGATTGAATAAAGGAGAGAAAAAGGAAAAATACTCATCCAGACCGAAAATGGATATCCGGAAATAATAGTCAGAAGGTATACGTATAAGGTATATCGTTGGAAAGCGGAGAATTAAAAAAACAAAAACAATATCTAATATAGAAAGTTATAGAAGGTAACGGAGAGTGGGAAAAAATATATAAATAATAATTTCTAAAAACTAACATTATTTAACGTAAATCACGCGTTTTCAAGGGAATTATATGAAATTTTCTTACTAAATGTAAACTTTTATTTTTTTTTAAGATTGAAAAAGTATTTAAAATTCATGGATTCAAGGCAATGACTTTGTTTAAGATACTATTTCATTGTACTTGTGTGAAAGAGGAAGTGAAATATAAAAATATTTCATGGATATATTTATATCCTTAAATATATTTACTGTAATATGAGAAGGAGTTGATCGAGGGATGCGGTCAAATTAATACTAAATTAAATAAGTGGAATTATTTAATTTTTGCCGACGTTTCGACCCACTTTGTAGGTCTTCATCAGGGGGTAGGATGTAGCACTGCGGGAGGCAGTCACTAGTAACAGTCACGCAGTGCTATATCCTACCCCCTGATGAAGACCTACAAAGTGGGTCGAAACGTCGGCAAAAATTAAATAATTTTATTTGTGATACCGAATTTTCCCTTTGTGATACTCCAACCGTATCCACTTACAATTAGTGTGACAACTTTTGATCTGTCTATGACAGACAATACAAATCTTTCAATTCCATTTTATTCAATTTTGCAATGATAAATAACAGTTTAATAAATAATAGTCGTACACTCCATAACCAACCGGTGATATAATAAGTAGGACTTTTGTTATTTTAATGGTATTTATGATTTGTTAGCTGTATGATTTTAGCTTTAGCTCGGTTAAAAATGCAATTTAAAAGTTTTATAATAGCCCAACATGGCCAGAAAATAATTTCTATTCAAAGTTGAGCGGTATGTGTGTTGCGCGCACCATATTTTTAATTTAGCCAAGTAGTTCTTCGTTTTATTAGAACGATTCCAGGAGGGACCATCTTCAATAATCTGTTTTCAACATCTGACATACGACGTTGTCATTACCTCTTGAACCGAAGTAGCATTAGCAGGAATATTTCGGTAGTTTGAAGAGTAAGCGGCTAAACTGGGTCTTAGAATTAATGAAAATAAGATGGCGAACATGAAAAGTTCAAGAAAAAAAAATGGAAGTGAATAGTGAAGACACAGTCCGGTATCTTGGCTTCCATTTAGACCGAAGACGAATGTGGAACCCTCATACTAGACTCAAAAGACAAGAGCACAACCGACGATACGGCCAGATCTACAGACTACTTAACAGAAAATCTAAACTTTCTATTGAAAACAAATTACTTATCTACAAGACAATACTGAAACCTATATGGGCATACGGACTTGAACTGTGGGGGACAGAAAAAGTTTCTAACATCAAACGTATTCAATCCTTTCAATCTAAAGTCCTTCGAACAATAGTTGATGCTCCGTTCAACCTAACCTACAAGGTGGATCGTCCCGGACTATTGGCTCTCGCAATTTCTCACAGGCCATGGGGGCTTTCGAGCAAAGCTTCATTGCCATGGGATGGACATCGACCCCCTATGCCCTAGCTGCGGTGTTCCGGAGACTGCTGAGCACATCATAGTGGACTGCACCGCCTTTGAAGAACTAAGGGCTAAATTACT